TATATATATATATATATATAGACATATATATATATATACGTCCGTGAACGCGATAACTTGAGTAATTTTTGTCCGATTTTGATGAAATTTGGTTTAAAGGTGTAAAGCGGGATAAACTTGAATGAGTTCGCGAACCAGCACGATCGGACCGTGGGAACGGGGCTTTACGGGGGGTTTTATGGGGTAAAAATTGGTTTTTCTCACTTTTGACCCTCAAAACACAAAATTTTCCAATTTCTCTTTGGACCTTTTTAAAGAGCTTAAAAAAACAAATAATTTAGTGTATAAAAGTATTTTTGTTCGATTATTAGTAACGGAGAAAATTAAAAAAATTGTAAATTTAAAATTCCCATGTTATTCTTATGGAGAATATTGTCAAATTTTGTAGTTTGCTTGTTTATGAATATATTTTGATCAAACTTGGCAAAATTATTTATTTTGTACTAAGCTATCAATATTTTACTCAAAAACACACTTTATTAGTTTCCTTGTAGCAGCAAACCTAGGTACTCGTTAAACCTAATGTTATTAAAATATATTTAACTGAAAATCAATTCAGCAGACAAATGGAAATTCGTTTAGTCGGCAGGTTTGCTGCGGCGGGGGTATTTATTATGGTTTTGGTTAACTCAGGTTTTGTTAACGGGGTGCGGTTAAAAGTGGTTTAACTTAAGTGCTATGAATAAAACAACAGTAAGCCTAAGTAAACCATTGATATAGAAACTGTGACAAACAAAAGATTTAAGTCAAGAGTAATTAACCATAGGCTATGACATTTAAGTTAAGAAGATATTTAATTTCAAACACAAATGTGTACCGGAAACCAAAGTAGAATTAACAAAAAATAACAGAGACCTAAGGGTTAAAACGAAACAAAATCTACTAGTAAACATTTTTATGAGAAATAATTACAAGTTGGAAAACAGCAAGATGTAGGTTTGATTTCACTTTAATACTTATGAAGTCAAACGGGATGAAGCCCGTGGGTAACAGCTAGTATTAATAAAAGCTAGTTTATTTTTTAGATGATCAGCTGTTTCAGCTGGGATACATTGCACCCATGCAGAAAGATCAATGACACTAGAGCATTGTAGAAGGAGAGGGGAGTGAAGTGGGAGGGGGGTTTGGACAAGTAGGTCAGCTGATCCAAGGTCAAATGGATGAGGAAAGTCAATAGTCAACATCACCTGACTTCTGACTTCCTCGCATTATCATTTTAGATCTCCTGAGTATTATCACATACAGTATAGCACATTGATCTTTGTACAACCATATTGGAACCATATTGATATTAAGAACATGTATTTTGACTTTTGAGTATATTAAACATTTTTGCATGATTTAAACACACTGATAAGTTTAAAATAGGATTAAATTGTAGGATTAAAATTGCAAGACAACAACATAAGTTATGTACTGTATATGACTTTTTAGGCCAAGTGGAAAGAACCTCATTAGGGACATAATTAAAAAGTATATCTTTAACTTTCAATTTAGTTCAGGATTGATTTAAGGATAAAGTGGTAACTGACCTAAAACAGTACACAATCATTTAGAGTTACAGTAAAGATAAAATAAGATTAAAGAAATATTATTACAACAGCAAAGCTACCTTAACCTTAACTAACTTTAAATGAATAATCACAAAACAAATTTAATCAGTTCAACACAATAATCATAGCTACAAATAAGGGTTTTTACAATGAACCGAAACAGAAACGAATTAGACGGTAAAAAATCTTTATGTTTAAGCATGGTTTGACCAATTTGGTCGTGGTGAAATTTATTCTCTACCATGTCACATATTTGCTTAACTATTTATAGGCTGATTTTGATTATTATTTTTATACAATTTAAAAATATTTGTGACATACCAAATTTAATACTAATTACAATCAACGTAGGTAGATTTATTTACTAATATTTTATTTGAATAAAGAGAAGTATTTAGTTTGCAAAAATGTTTTTTTTCGTAAATTGTTTACTGCTTAAAATAAATTTAACGTAAAAATCTCATTTAAAAACGTTTACTGGCCAATCCATTTTTATATTAGACCACTTAACTGACTACCACAAATTGCAACAAAGCGGTGAATGCTGTAACAGCTGTTAAGGAGATGTGTGAGAGTTATTTTTAATCAAATGTTTGGCAACTGCGGCCTCATGTGCAGACATCAACAAGTCCAACAGTTGCCCCTGGAACTTTCCATCCCCGGGCCTGGGGTTGTTTTGTTATCAACAGTTATTACTGTCTAACTCTTGCCTAACAATTGCCACGGTAAATACAATCTTTAATTAGTTTACAAATAGCCATCTGACCTTTCAATTTTGGAGGATTTACCTAGTTAGTTACAAGGGTAAACAAAACTACTGGAACAAGAACTTGAGGGTGGCATCACTAGATATTTGTACAGTTGAGTGATAAATGAATGTGAAACTGAAAAATTCCCAAAATGAAATTACAACCAAATCAAATAAAGGTTAGGCCTTACGTAAATATAAAAAAAAACAAAAAACAGAACATTCTTGGTAAAATTTTATAAAATAAATGGAAATATTAAATCAGATTATAAAATATATATACATGTTTACATTTGTTTCTTTTGATAATAATAACATTTTGGCTTTTTGTTGTTTTCTAGGAAATTAGGGAAGTAGCTATTACCAAAGGCTGGTAGCACGGTAACACCTGGACTGGACCCGGGACCGATGTAACTTTTTCATTTTGATGTCCCCAGATCCCAAAAACAATTATGCGTTCAAATTTTGAGGTGTAGGGCGGGGGAAACTTGAATGATTTTTTTTCAAATTATTCCCTATAAATCATGGAATGTCCAAATTTTACTATGGATATCGTATGGAGCTTAATAACTCATTTAAAATGTACATTTAAAATCCCAGGTTATTCTTACGGATAAAAAGGAAAACTGTTGTAGCTTGCTTGTTTATGGATATAATAATATATATTAAATTTGGCAAATTTATGTATTTCATCATATAGGCCTACTAACTACTAACAATTGGTCAACAACCACGTTTTACCTTCCCCGTAACAGCAAATCTACCTTAGTCCACTTTAAATCAAATGTTATTTGAATGAGGAATAAATATACTTGTTTTATGGAAATATTTTGATACAAATTTAAGCAGGAAATTCGCTTAGTCTGCATGTTTGCTGTGGTTGGGAATTTGTTTGTACACTCAAAATGTGCCTACTGAATCCATAGTTTACCAGACAGAAAAGTTTGAGTGAATTTGATTCTATACGAAGTGAATCATTGTTTATCACTAACCAGTTATGATCTCAAAATAATGGACAGGATATGATACAAATTAAAATTCATTGTTATTTAAGTAGGTGATATGGGAAACTATCAAATCGATTAAGATAAGTCAACTCAACTGGATCTGGTAAATAAACAAATGTGCTTATCTAGCACAAATAAATGGAAATGAATGAGATATGACAACTGTTATCAAATAACAAAAAAAAAAAACTATTTCATATGTTGTTCTGAGTAAAAATAGTTGTTAATGGATTGAACAACTATAATAGCTACAGTGTAAATAAAACAAAAGAATACTTTACGTTCAAGTGTACAATTGGCGAATTGGTTATGAAAACCTTTTGTTGTTACCTAACTAACTAAAAACTTCAAAAGGTAAAACTATTTTGTACGATGAGATAGCCTAATAGTTCAGTCTAGTAGATAATGGAAGATTTCGGTTAACAACCAGAAAATTTGGCTTGGGTGATCTGGAGATTTTCCATTAGAAAAAGATTAAAAATTGACATGTGATTAACACTTAATTGAATATTTATTTAGCATTAAAAATAGGCGTGGGAAAGGGTTTAAATCTACCAAAACCACTCCTGGCCAAGATTTACGCAATGGCTTATCTGCCTTTATCCAGACCATTAAGTTAATTATCCAACTGAAATGGAACAGGCTTCCACACAATTCACTTCAACATTGGAGGTTTATTTTTTTTTATTTTTAAGCTGTAGTTGCGTATTGGGTCCTCAGTGCTACCAACTGCAGAGGAAAAAGCTAGAACAAGGTTCCAGTTACAAAGAAAAATGCCCTGAGCCCCAATCTGAAGACAGTTGGATAGGAACAATGCTAAGTGTTGTTGGCACAAAAATGCACCTAGTCAAAAGCAAACTGAACACTGAAGCAATGCAAGTTGCAATGATAGTGAGCGGAACCGCGAGTTACCCCTGGTGAAGAGTCCCACTACCTTGCAGAACCACGTCGTTAGCAGTCAGCGTATGTTTTAGATAAGTAGATGGATGCCGAAAAGAGAGCAGATTTGGTAACTCATTACCAAACCAGTAAATTAAAAGTATAGATGAAGTGAACTAAAACGCAAAAAAAAAGAGTTGACATCCCACAGCTCAATAATCTTGAAAATATAACAAAATTTTTTTTTTTATTGTGGTATTACCATGTACTCTTTTTGTAGCAGCCCCAAAGGGGAATAAAAATGGATTTGCCTTCACATTACATAAATAAATGAAATTACGTTTGACTATTGATAGAAATAGACATTCCGTTTCCATGTTAAAGTTGTCCCCAGATTTTAAATCAAAATGGATCAAGTTGAAGCGAGCTACCAAGGATTTGCACTAATATAATATAATGATTTCTATCAAATACATATCACTTGACTTTATAACCAAGTCAAAATGATAAGACGACTTATTGTAGGCCTAAGCTATAGCATCTTTGCTGTCACATAAACTATCTCAGTTATACAAAAAAATAACGTAGACACTTGACTTTCAAACACTAGCGCAATCTGTGACTGGCTCGTAAAACTAAGTTCTTTGTAATAACAAAATCAGCAACAGCTGGTCCATATAGAAGGGATTTCTACTTCAGTATCAAAAAGCCTGAATAAATTACTAAACAGTTTGCACAGTAGTATCGAAAAATGACCACTAACACTCATACTCATAACTTCTGATTTGCACAATCCAATACAAGTGTACTCACCACGTGTACGCTCTTAGGATCTTGTAGCCAAGCGTTGTACATCTCCTCCACGTAAGCCCCGCTGCTGCCGTTGAGGAAGGGCTCCGCTGCAGCTGGAGAGTTGTAGTGTCGTGTGCGAGGTGTCAAGGCAGGAGCGCGTGCTGAGCCCAGCAGCCATGATGCAAAGCGCTCCGGTCCTGCCGCACTTGGTATGAATGGGACGAGATTGTTTAACACGCTACGTGCCCGATACATGCTGGCTGAGCTGAAACAGAAAACAGACGTTAGAACACATACATCAGGATTGGGCCTGTCACTTGTGTTACAATAAGACTGGGACAGTGGCGTCTTTCTTCACATGAAATAAGTTAACCTCATGGAAAAAATACAACACAGTTTTCATTAGATAAGGAAATACTCAACTCACCCCTCAATAACCGATAAAGTTGTTTAGTTCTGACTTAGGCTATTTCTATAAAACTCACGTTTTGTAGCCACAATTTAGTTTGTCCACATTCTAAAGACTTAGGTCGCATATAACAATCCATATATAACTAAAATTGTTTTAAGAATCTTACCGATCTTGGTGTTAGTCAGTAGTTAAGTAGCAAAATTATTCCAACAATTTCACAACAGCATTTCATTTTGCATACAAAGACATGTTAAACTATGTAACAATACTGCAAACATTTTGTTTTCACTATTTTGAATCAAATCACAAAAACACTGAGAGTTAAACAACACAATCATAAAATTATCACACAAGTCTAAAGAAACAGGTCCCATGTCACCACATCGCTGGACTGCAGTCAAATGAAACATTCAGATAAAGCAAGACCCTTTGACCCTAAACACACTGCTTCTTTGTTTCGGCTGTGTAATGAACCCATTGACATGGATGTAGCTTTGGTAAACATTTGAAAGCTGATTTCTTAACTAAGTCAACATAACTTCCGGAACTTGACTGAAGTAAACATAACAGCTTAGTTTTTTTTCATAGAATACCTCTTATGTTTTTTACTAACCTTAAGTCGAATATATTTGCTTGGATTTCATACATCGACTTATACTGAAACATAATTGATTTACAGTAGACTCCCCTTATCCAGACACCTTTTAACCGAACTACACTCGGTGGAAATGACATCTCTTTAACCGTACAATTTTTTTCAGCACATTGGTTTTACCGGACTAGATCAGCAGGAAGTGGGCAGTACTGAAACGACTGTTCTTGTGGGAAAGATTTAAAACCAGTGATCACTTGTCTAATTACAATGCTCTCCAAAATTTAAGTTAAATACTGTATACAGTATGCATTTAAATGGTCTGTTTTAATGAGTTTTTGGGGAAGTCGTTTTAATCGGAAAAACCGTTATCCGGAATGGCCTTGGTCCCGAGAAGTCCGGATAAGAGGGAGTCTACTGTAAAAACTTTAAAACTTCAACGTACATTTTTAAATCTTAACTGGTCTAAAGTAATCCTACTTGTTTTTATTCTGTAAGCTTAATATTTCTACCTTATAATACTTTTAAGTATACCTATTCTATTTCTAAGATTTACTAAGATGAAGTTTCTTTTCCCATTTTTATCTCTCTATCTCCCTCTTATGAGTATTAAAGTATATTTCTAATAAAGTGCTAGGAATTAAAATTAATTTCTATTCTAGCTCCTGAGCTGTTATATTCAATATGATAAAAAGGTTTACATACCTTATACATCCGACATATAGCTCAATTTTATAGAAGGTTGTTTACATGTTACATACAAGCCGAAACATGTAAACAACCTTCTATAAAATTGAGCTGTATGTCGGATGTATAAGGTGCTAGGAATCATTTAAATACAAATGATAGGCCTAATTTTAAAACTAATCTGCTTATTTATGTTAGTTTTATTTATTTTAAACATATTTTTAGGATATAATTAGCAGTTTAGACACTAGTAAAAGATATAATGATATGATTTAAATTTAAATGTTAAATTTATTTTAAAACCTGTTTAACTTAAGTCTTTAAATGCAGATTGGTGAAAATTATTTGTTTATCTTTCAACTGTTTGCTCCAATGTTCCAATTGTATACTTTTCATGTTCTATTTGCTAATGTCATCTTATATGGCGAACCCCTAGTTAGTAATTGACTACCCTAAATTGTTTCTTGGAAACACATAATACCTTAAACCAACAAGTTTTTGCGGAGTTACAACTGTAAGTGTATAAGGGTTTATTACTTGACATGATTTGTTTTTGTATGTTTTATAAAAGTGGATGGATTAGGAGTAAAACATAAATCATCTTTGGATAGCCACATGATGTGATTTAATAATTATATTAGGCCTAGTATTTTTACTATAGCCTATTGAGTTAGAAGCAGTTATTTTCACATAATCAAAATAAAAAATTAAACTGAAATTCCGGTTTTTTTATGTGGTTGCGTTTTTTTTTATGTACCGGTATATATTTTATTTAAGAATAGCATTAATATGACCCAGAAGTATATTGAAGTACCTGAAATCTATGATATAGGTATTTCTCTTAGTTGTTTTACTGATACAGTTATATTATATACCGGTATATATTTTATTTAAGAATAGCATTAATATGACCCAGAAGTATATTGAAGTACCTGAAATCTATGTTATAGGTATTTCTCTTAGTTGTTTTACTGATACAGTTATATTAGTCCTACATTGAAACTGTGCAGTAAATATTCTATTACAATTAAGAAATATTTATTATCTTGACAAATCCTACAAAGATATACAATGAAATCGACTTTTTAACACTTTACTAAATAATAACTTACGTCGAGAAGCCAGCAAAAACGAGAAGTTGAGCACAGCAATGACCGAACTAAAGTGACCTACCTTACTATAAATAGACGTCACCTGACATCAGGCCAACCATGTACAAGTGCCAGAGAACAATGTCGTTCAAATTATTAGGCCTAGGCCAAAAGATTAATAATGAATATTTTTATAACAAGACCTGATTCAGAACTGATTTTATTTAAAAAATTGATGATTTTACACTAGGAAAAGGCCTAAGTTCTGAAATTTCTCAAATTGAGTTAAGGTTCTTATATGGATTTAGGTAATATTTTTTTTTTTTTAAATAACGGTACCTTCACTTTTTGCAGTTTTGGAATTTCAGATTCTGGCTGATTTCTTACGATTGAGAAGCTCAATATTAATGAAATTCATGTTTCTAGTGTTTCTTAGGGTTTTGATTACTGTATTTATTTATTTAGTTTTTTTTTTGTTGCTAAAAATATATTGGTAGGCCTACAACATTAAATTTGTTAATTAAAAGTCTGTCTTACTGTATTTAATTTTATAATCACAGTTTGTAGCCAATGTTTGGAATAAACTATATATTCATTCATTCATTGTTAATTAATGATTCAGTTCAATCATTTCAGTTAACACGTTTTTTGTGAATGCTTTAGTAGAGAAAACTTGGACACAGCTGTTAATTAATAGCCTATACCCTAGGAGGATTAAACATTAAGGAGAGGGCACGCGAATAGGAATACACGTGTTGCGGTGAAGCCAGCTTTAGCAGAACACTAGAGGGGCACGCGGAGCCGTAGAGTGGCAAAAAGCCTCGGCTATAACATGGGAGAGATAGGGAAAAACGCGACGCGCGCTGTTTCGAATTAAAATTGTCGCTAAACTAAAACACCCGTGTTATTCACCGATGGCATTCTTAAAGTAAATTAAATTTCCTATCGAACGGTGTCAATCATTCCTATAAAAACTATTATTTATTATTTATTATTGAAGATCAAAGTTGAATGAATTGACCTGGACTTTGAACATATGATTACTATAATTACGTTTTTGAAAAAAATATGACGTATCTACACAAATTAACAATTTATTCATGTTCCTTAAGAGTTTCTCGAAATAAAAAATATATATTTACCTATATTTAAAAGTGGTATTTATAAAAATAATTACAATAAAGTTTTTTTTATTTTTCCAGTTTATAAAACAATCTTACTAATAATAGGTTAAAATGAAAATTTTAATTCGGGTGGTTAAATACATTTTAAATTAGCATTTTTCATAGTTTTCTCGATTTTTTAATATAATTTTTTAATAGTTTTAAGTCATTGATGTGCTAGACAGGTGATTTTAAATAGCCAAAGTTAAGAAAAAATGCAAAGCCACTCTAACTTTTTTTTACACCAACAGCCGTTACAATTAAATTACAATCATAAAAAGTAAAACAATTTCTTGGTAATCAAATTCTTGATTTTTTAAATATCATATTGAACTATATTTGATCTGTTTGCCCAAAGAAACTTCGAGTAAAAAGTGTAAATGTTCAACAATCATCGCGTCTTCTGACGCCAAAGTGCGTTTATCATTCTTTTAAAGGATTAAAACCTATTTTATTTCTCTTTAAGAAAATGTTCAAATACACATACAGAACTACTTATGATTTGAGTTTTAATTTATGAACAGTAAAATCCATTGGTGATATGGCGGGATTTGAACCCGGGACCCCATGAACCGGAGTCCCGCGCTCTGGTTAGAGTATTATAAATAATACACAATACAAGTATGGCAAAAAATAAAAACAAGGACAACGAATTCTAAAATACAAGTCGTCCTTGTGTAAATTACTCACCTTTGAACGTACTATTGGTTCATAAATATGACTTTCCTCTTAATAGGTTCCTAATATTACGGTTAGAATTTAACTTTTTAATTTTCGTAGCATGATGAAGTCTAATTTTTAAATAGTCAATTGATATTTCTGTTACCAAATCTTCCAGTAACGCATACAACGCAGTATGAGAGGGGGCGGGAGACGGGAGAGTAGCGCTGCCTCCCCCCCTCCTCAGTACGCTGGCTTCAACGAAACTACAGCGTGTCCTCTCCTTAATGTTTAATCCTCCTAGCCTATACCTCAAATGGCAACTAACTTAAGGGACCTACAGTTTATACTCTCTTCACTTAACCTGAACCTTGCGTAGCAGACTAACTTAGCAGCACAGTATTGGTTTTGGCATTCTAGCTCTAACTTTAACTTTTAGCTGTAGCGAAGTGACGTCATAAGGCCCATTATCGGTGACAGAATCGGGTATAGTTTCGGGTATAGTTTCTGGACTGGGCTACTCTAATATCAAATGATACTATCGATTATAATCAATATTTTTTTAACTATATTAGGCCTATTTAATTATAAAAAGGAACTGTGATAATCTAGAACCAAACTTACTGACAATGTAAAAAATTGAATGTTTACTAATCAAAT